ATAACCAGTCCAGAACCAGGTGGAAGACTAGGTCCAGAACCAACCAAAACTAGCCTAAAACCCAGTCCAGGTCAAAATCCCAGTCTTAACCCAGTCCAAACTCAGAACAAAACCAACTACAAAAATAGTCCCAAGGCACATAATAACCAGTCTGGAGTCAGTCTGAACAGGTTTCATGTTATTTGGACCAGTTTAAAGCCAGTCTGAACCACCAGAACCACGTATCAGAGGCTGCGTCTTTATTTCCGTGTGGTCAGGTGAGCGTGAGCGGCTCCACTGACCGGGTTGATGGCCACCAGCAGGCCGTCGTACGTCCACGTTCCCAGCTTCATGCTGCAGTTCTGCAGGTCGAAGGGGAAGTGGAGGACGATGATCTCGCAGTAGCTCTTGAAGATGGCCGGAGGGTTCCACGTTATCATCCCGTTGTGTTCCAGCAGAACTTTGGTTTCATGGATGATGGCAAAGTCTCCGTCAGCGCTGCAGAAGGAGAGAGAGGAGAGGAGTGAAGCATTTACAGAAAGATAAATCTATAAAATAATTAAAAAACATATTTATTTATTTATTTATTTATTTTTTACAGAAAAAAATCCATTAAATTATGTTTTCACAATGTGCAAAATTATAAACTACAAATGTTAAATAAACCCATAAAACACCTGAAAATGTGACGTTTCTTAGTGTTTGAATAAAAGAAGTTAAAGAGTTTGTACTTGTTGTAAAGCACCAGGTCAGGCTTCCATATATCTGTCGAAGGGATTCGGATCTTCCTGATTCCTCCGTACTCGTCTGGGTTCCACTTCAGGTTCACATCGATCCATTGCTGAGGAGAGAAAACGCTGTTTAAACGTACAGATTCTTCAGCTGTTTTATCTCCGTCCGTTTAATACAAGATGTGCAGATCAGCGGTGACCATGAATAGTTTATACCTGTCTGAGACGGACGTTACTGGTCACGATCTGGTTCACTTCATCCTGAGAACAGACAGAAAACAGAAACAAACCTGTGATGTTAAGCGTTTCATGGAGGAATATTTATAATTTGTGAGTTTAAATCTAGAAAACCTTCATTCAAACCAAAGAAACTCTGGAATGTTTGCCTTCAGTAACTTTTCTTCTTTCAGATTAATGCAAAGAAAAATGTCCAAAAGTCACATTTAGGAGTTTAATTTACTGTTTTTTATCTGTCGGCATCTGCAGGTTTAAGTTATTGTCTGTAGTTTTCGCAACATGAAAACTGTCGACTTTTATTCGTGCTGCTGGTTTGAAGGTTTTCAGCCTCATTTATGAAACACTTCAGTTCTGGATATGTGCATGACATGTGTCTGGGTGGATTTATCGTCCAGCAGAAACTGAGCCTGTGCTTTCAGATCAGCAGGTTTCAGGTGCGTCTTCAGGGTGGGGCTCTGTGCCGCCGCCCTCCAATCATCCAATCACTGTGGTCCACCTGGTTCAGATGGAGTTCATGTGTCTGCTTCATGTCTTTGTTCTGTTTGACTCTGATGGAGCTGCACACTGTCCAAATGTTAATGAAAGAATTAAACTGAGCTGCAGCTTCTATTTAAATCCTCAGTTTAAACATCAACCGAACACACGTGAAGTTGACTTTCAGATCTTTTTCTCGTGTTCCGTTGAGACCAGCGAGAGGACCAGGTTCATGACTGTAAAAGTGAGACGCTAAAGGATAGCTCGACCTTGAAAGTTTTGAAAATCAGGAACTATAAACTGGTTTTGCTGGTAGTTTTCCACCAAAGCTGCTGGGAACGAGTTGTCCAGCAGCAACAACTTGTGGAAAAACTGAGAAAAGAGAAGAAGAAGAAGAAGGAGCGACGTCGAGGAACCTTCAGCTGAAAATTGATTTCCACCGTTGGGCTGGTTGGATTGAAGCTGCTGTGACCTTCATCTCACCGACCCGAACCTGAAGACAAGCTGCTAACAGTAAGTAACTCAGGTCTCTGTGAGTTTTTCAGGCCGCCGAGCCTCTTCGAAGTGTTCAGTTTGACTGAGCTGCTCTGAATCTGTGGATCTCTGAGAATTTAGCTCTGAGCTGCTGGTTTTCTGTGATTTTGGCTCAGTGGAGTCATGAGTGGAGTCGATGCTGGATCTCTGTCTGAGGGTTCGACTAAACAGCGTTTGTTTGGTGCAGATCAGAAAACTGGAGAAATGATGGAAGTGTTTTCAGTTTGTGTGTCATCAGAAAAGCTGTCGTGTATTTATAATTTAAAATCTGTGCTTTACTTTAGAACTGAAAAAGGTTTCAGGTGAGAGAATAAAAGAAAAAAACTAAACTAAAAACTAAAGAAAACTCAGTCAAACCAGGAAGGAAATATGTGTCAAAAGCCAAGAAAAAAATCATTTAACTTAATATTAAAATAAGGTAAAACTGTTTTATCTCAGCTCACCAGTGTAATGTTATTAATTCTAATCTTAGCTGATTAAATTAGGTCACATGTCTAATATAAAATAACTTTAACAACCTGCAAGTTTGAATTATCATAAAATGTTCTTTTTTCTTTTTTTAAAGAAAAAAACTTTTTATTTCTTAAATTTTTATTTGCAGTTTAATAGGATTTTTTTCATTGTGTTTTACAGTTTTCAATTTAAAATAAAAGCATCTCTTACATTTAATTGTACTTACTGTCTAAGTGGTTCAAATATATTTGTAAAATTAGATATAATTAGTGGCAATTACCAGAAAAAAAAAATATTGGTTCTCTGATTTTATATAGATTCATGTAGATGTCTTTAGTGTATATTAATCTAAAGGCATCGGTAATCTGTCCTCACACAGTTTTTCATCTTTATACACGTAACTAATCCTTATATCTGTGCGTCCATATAAATATGATGACTTTGGTTTAACACGTGCAAATATTGTTCAATAAACTTTAGAAACACACCTGATCTAAAGTAAATAAACGGCTACAAACTGTATTTTGATTATGAAAAACTATATTTTTGATTATGTTATTTTCCAGTTTTTTACATTTTCTCAGACAGTAAACGCAGAGTTAGCTCAGACTGAGTGTTGATGTGGGAGGAGACCATGAGGTTCTGACCACGCTGATGAGCTGGATGAGCTGCAGGCCGACCGTCACCACCACGGCTTCGCTGAAGTGGTTCACGGGTCGGACCACTTTGTTGTATCCAGTGAACAGGTTCTTCACCAGCCGGGTCTCATCATCTGAGCCCAGCACTGGACCTGAAACACAGAAACTCATTAGTTCTTCGTTACCTGATGAATATATCAGAACATACAGGAAACAGGAAGTTTTTACATGAAGAGCTTCAAATTTATCATCATTTCACAGATTTTTTTCCTTTTTATTTTACAATTTTTCTGGTATTTTTGAAGTACACAAAAAAATAGGAACAGAAGGTGAGTTCATACTTTTATTGTAAAATAACATTTAAAATCTGTAAATTTTCAATAAGCCTGAAATGTTACTTAAAAAAAGAATAAGGAGAAAATTGACATTTTTGTTACACACGGATGCAAATTTGGCAAATTTCACAAATATTTACTTTTTATTTATTGGGTGAAAGTATTAAATTCTAGTTTAATTTTTATATTTCTAAAATTATTTCATATAATCTGTCATTTTACAGAATTTTGTTTTATTTGTTTTACTTTAAAAAAAAATTAGAACTGAAATACACTAAAAGTCAGAACATGAAAATTTAACAATTGACAGTTTTTACATGAAGTGCAGATTTTGCAAATTTACCACAATTCCATAAACATTTCTTTTCATTTAAGAGATGAAGATGCTTCATTGAAGTTTAAAACTGTAAATATATTTCTAAAAATAACATACAATCAGTGACACAGAAGAGTCTGTAACTGTACTGATTTTTTTTTCTTTTTATTTTAGATTTTTCTCATATTTTTGAAACAACAAAAGAAATGACAGTTACAAAGACTGAACACAACAAACCCTTTTATTCTACGGTTTCTTTTCCTTGTACTTTTGAAGCACCCACAAATCTCTATGACGTAAACTTTGGCCCATCGAGCATCAGATAATCTGCTGTGGTTGCAGTTTAGAGGAATCCATGTAAGAATCTTGTACATGTTTCTGGAACAAACCCGACTGTGAGGTGCTGATGCTGGACTGATGATGCTCAGTTCTATTTCCCAGCACTTTGACAGAGTCCCGTTACGAGTCCAACGTGTTGCCGCCCAAATGTTTTCACACTGAAGCTGAATCACAGCTGAAGATTACCGTCGCCCTGATTCACACTGCAAACATTTCTCTGGCGTCCAGCCGGAAACCTGAATCCGTCCAGAGAGGAAGGTTGGAATTATCAGATAAGAGCCGGCGGCCGGCTGAGATTCCAGCGCGGTGAAAAGCTTCGGCACCGAACGTCCCGAGCTGTTTAATCAGGTGTGTTTGTGTGAGTCCTGGTGAGGCTAATCCCGGTGCTAACAGGCTGTCTGGGAACAGCAGCTCAGCCGGATCCATCTGACGGTAAGTCTGGATCAGCTGCAGGTCACAGCAGTTAACCTGCATTTAACACCTCCTCCTATGAAGGTGTTTCCCGCTAACGGGCTCACAGCTGCTCCTTTAAACGGCCTTTATGAGTCCGTAAATGATGTCACTTCTCTGAGTCGTGTCCCCACAAACTGGATTAGAGTCTCAGCCAGAAAGTACTCTGGGTTGTAGGTTAGATTCTGGCAACTTTACAACCTTGTTTT